TGTGACAAAGATAGCATCGTTGAATAACCTAGCTGATCCCTTCACGAAGACTCTGACTGTTAGTGTCTTCGAGAAACACGTAGAGGGTCTTGGTTTACGATGTGTTACAGCTAGCCTTTGAGTATAAGTGGGAGAATTATTTTGACATGCGTTTGTATACTAAAAGTTTAGCTTTAGTATAAGCGGGAGATTGTTGGAGTATACTGTAAAGCAAACTTTTATGTGAGCTTTTAGAATGTATTTATTCGATTTCCCATTTGACTGAAATAAATGTTTTCACATTGTTGCATTCTTTATGATTGCTTGTATGCTAAATGTCCAATTATCTTATATTGTAGACAATGTGGTGTGTTAGTAGTCACACAGAAGATTACATTGTCGGTCCCTTATAAGATATAAATGGTATTCACAACTGAGATAGTTATGGACTTGACTATCGGTGTAGGTTGTAGTATAAACTCGATGTAGCTTGTCTTGGCTATCGGTTTATACTAGTGCGCTGTGTCGCATTGAATGGATCACAGTTGAGACGCGTTCTTCTGTTCTGACTATCATAAAGAACTAAGGTCTCGGTGACTCTACTAATTCTTAACCCTAACAGTGATACTTAGATATGTGGGATATTTGTTTGTTGCTTTGATTTACCATGGGTGAGAACCAAACATTGGTTCAATATGCTCCGTATCTTGGGTGACAACATTATCTGCATGATATCTATTTATTGGCATTAGGGAACCGTGTCCTGGACATCCAGGTTGATGACGTCCCCTTAAGGAACTCATAAGGATTATCGTATAAACCCTGCAGGTGGATTTAATCCGTACGATAATAAGGTTGAGTGGTACTACTTAAGGAATAAAATATATTGATTAATTAAAGCAGTCAGAAGCTTTAATAATTAATGGACATGCGATATCTTAAACACGGGGAATTATATCAAGTCTAATAGAAGCCCTGATTCATTTTGGGATAGGACGGAAGTGCAATATTAATAGAAGCCCTGATTCATTTCGGGATTAATGGACGTGCGATATCTTAAACACGGGGAATTAATGGACGTGCGAAGCGGTTGTTTTTCGTGGCTAGGTCAAATTCAATCGCCTGAACGAAGTTTTTCGGCCATTTTTCCACCGGTGGGTGCCAATATCGAGTGAATGGCCCGATTTACGCGAGAGGCCGATTCGAGTGTTCATCCACGACCTCGTTGAATCATGTAATAGCTTTGATAGGCTGTTAGTGGTTGGTTTTTGAGGGGCTGCGATAGATGTGTGTTTAAATTCGCAATTTTATCGCTTTTGTGGATGTCGATTTAATTCTTGCTAGAACATGATTGTGTGATTATGTGTCTACTTGTTTTAAATTGCTTTTCTGGCATGCTAAAAATCATGTAAATAGGTGCTTTTAATTCTTAGAAAGCTGTTATTGCTTTTATTTGAATTATAGGAGCATGTTAGGATTTATGTGATTTGCGTGTTAGGAGCATGCTAGGAATTTTATTATTTCTTGTTGCATGCTAATAAAACCTTCAAGTGAAAAAAATGACTAAGTGAGTTTAATATGAATTTTAATTAATTCATTTGGCCTCCAAAATTGGTCTTTAAGTAAGGTGTTTGTCGTTCGCGGGACCTTGGGAGTCTCCCCCTAACGGATGCGACATTCACGAGCTTACTAGATAAGACTTCTATTCAAACGACTTGATCTTTAGGTGAAGTGAGTGGCATACGCGTGACCCATGGGGTCTCCTCCCTAACGGATAGTGTCATTCATAAGTTCACCGGTAAAGATTATTTCGAGATAACCGTAGAAAATTATTTACAAGCGATGTGTCTTCCCCTTTGGTAAGTTCATCAATTGTGAATGATTGTTCTTGAGGTCAAATTGTGGTCATCACTTAGATGTGAATTTTAATAATAACTCCCCAACGGAGTCCCTGTTTTAATTCACATGGCCAGTGTTAAAATTTTCGACTATTAATTTCATTCGCCATAAGGACAGGTTGGCGTGCAATTGAGATTAATGACTGGGTGTCTGCTTGATGGACATATGTGTAAACGTCCACCCTAACGTGGCTTTCATGTGTGTTTGTTAAAGTTGTTGAAGGATGCGTTAAATAATGGTTTTGAAGGTTTCCATATTTTATGCTTCAAATTTATGTGAATTATTGCTTACGTGTTTGCGATTATTTATTTCAGTTATTCATCATGTCATTCAATCCGCTTATGACCATTCTCAATCAAAACAAGCTTACTGGTCCAAATTATTTGGACTGGAAGAGGAATCTGGATATTGTCCTTGTTGCTGATGAGTACAAATTTGTGCTCACCACACCTGCTCCTGCTCCTTTGGGCGCCGCTCCTACCGAAGAAGAAAGGGAGGCTCATCGGAAGTGGCATAAGGCTGATGAGATGGCTCGTTGCTACATTTTGGCATCTATGTCAAATGTTTTGCAACAGCAGCATCACACCATGCCTACTGCTGCTGACATGATGTCGAGCCTCAAGGAACTCTTTTGTGAGCAAGATAGGGCTGCTCGGTTTGAGACTATTCGGAAGATTATGTCTTCTGTCATGCCGGAGGGAGCTTCTGTGCGAGAGCATGTTCTCAAGATGATGGAATATCTGAATGAGATAGATGTGCTCGGAGGAAATATCGATGGCGATGCCAAGATCGATATCATCCTGCACTCGCTCCTGAAGTCCTATGAGAACTTCCGTCTGAATGCAATTATGAATAAGAAGGGCTATACACTAGCCGAGCTTCTTGTGGACTTGGTTGCAGTGGAGGGTCTTATGGGCAGGGGACCACAGGCTCATGTTTCTGTACAAGCTGGACCTTCTTCGTCGAAAGGCGGGAAGAAGAAAAAGCAAGTGCAGAAAAAGGGTAGTGGAACCAGTGAGAATAGTGGGAGCAAAGCTGTAGCGCCTTCTGGTGGCGTGCAGAAGCCGAAAGGCAAGTGCTTCAAGTGCAACAAGACAGGACATTGGAAGTCAGATTGTCCCCTCAAGGACACTCCTGGTATGTCTCCTGCTTTAGTTGTCTGATGTTGCTAGGTTAGTTATGTCTAGTTGTTAGGTTAGTTGTGTCTAGTTGCTAGGTCAGTTGTCTGATGTTGATAGGTTAGTTATGTCTAGTTGCTAGGTTAGTTGTCTGTTGTTGCTAGGTTATTTCTATCTTGTTGCTAGGTTAGTTATGTCTAGTTGCAAGGTTAGTTGTCAGTTGTTGCTAGGTTAGTTCTATCTTGTTGCTAAGTTAGTTCTAAGTAGTTGCTAGGTTAGTTGTCTGTTGTTGCTAGGTTAGTTTTCTGTTGTTGTTAGGTTTTTTTTTTTTTCAAACAACGCCCCCGAGGGGCGGGGGATTGGGCTGGATCCCCAACCTGTGCATAGATCAAGACCCCAAAACAGGGCCCAACAAGTCAACAGTCTACAGTCTACAGAGTCTCAAAAGCAAAACAACAAAGAAATAACAATACAAAGTCTGTCTTTGGGCTAACAGGTGCCCGGAAATAGAATTCTAATCTACTGAAAGCAATAACCTAATCTATTGAAAGCGGAACGATGGATATCCAAGCTGGTCCATCCGCACGAGCGTGCGAAGGCGGAGTGAAGCAATGTTGGTCTGAAACGTATGTGGGTCTGGTATGGTGGCGCCAAGGCTGGCAAGGTAGTCCGCAGGTCTGTTCTCCTCACGGAAAATGTGCGTGATCCTGTGATGGACAGACCGGAGTAGAGATCTAATACGCATAAGCGGGTGCTGAATCTGCCATGAGCCCTGGTGGCTCGAAGTCATGAGGGTGGCGACAGCCGCAGCGTCCAGCTCGATCCAAATATGGCTAGAGAGGTGGACAGCAATCTGAAGGCCGATCTGTAATGCCTGAATCTTTGCATCGTAGCTCGAGGAGGCCTGAAGGGGCGCGTGAAAGGCGGTGATGAGGGCGCCGCTGTGGTCCCGGATCAAGTTTCCTCCTCCGGCAACTCCGGTATGACGATCAAAAGAGCCATCAGTGTTCAGCTTGACCCACGGAGAGTCAGGTCGAAGCCAAACAACAGCTCTGGCCCGAGGAGGCCGAACAGGCGGTGGGGGGGCCACCATGTTGTTGCTAGGTTAGTTAAATGTAGTTGCTAGGTCAGTTTGCAAGATTAGTTGTCTGATGTTGCTAGGTTAGTTATGTCTAGTTGCTAAGTTATCATACATGATGCATACTAAGGTCAACGGGTCAACGCCGGAAGTCAATAGTCAACGCCGGAGTCGACGATCAACGCCGGAGTCAACTACTAATTATTTTTATTATTTAATTAATGTATATTTTAATTGATTAACATAAATTCTTGATCTAGACAAAATGAGTGGTTAAGATTGAGTCTCACGTCAACATTTTAAGAGGTGGACTCATTGGATCCATCCCCTATATATATATATATATGGTCGCGCTCACATGAGAATGGTGCTTAATGCGAGAAAATAAGAATAAATCTTAGCCATCGGATCAGATGATCTTATGGCTAATAAAAAAGTCAAACTTATACCTTCATTAAGGGTATTGTGGTAATTTTTTATCAATCACCAAAAAAAGTAGGCCCCAAAATATACATTTAATATACATGCCAACTAGCCCAATCAATAATCAATTGGTCAACCCACCCCACCTCACCCACGACACGCCACCCCACACTGCACTCTCTCTCACACACCCACACACACAATACACACACCACACACACACCAACCCGTCGAAAAAAATCTCAGCCACCCCAGGCCGCCAGTGGCCCGCCGTCCGCACCACTGCCCTCCTTGCACACACCGCCGCCGTTTTCTGCCGAGATCGCCGCCGCCGCCATCATCTGTAGAGCTCGTCACCACTGCCATCTGCAGCCCGCCGACGCCGAGGTTTCAAAATCTCCGACAGTGAGAATGCCATTATCTGCAGAGCACACACAGACGTACACTATATACACATACTCACGCATGAAATCTCCGACAGTCAGTCCGACATCTAGTAGCACCGCACACGGCCGTCGGCCCCCTGGCACCGCTCGCCGCCGCTCTCAGACGTCATGTCGCGCCGCCGCGTCGTCTCCGCCATTTTCGTCGACAACGATATAAGAATCGTTTCGATCGCCGGTNTGGTGTGTGTGTGTGTGTGTGAGAGAGAGAGAGAGAGAGAGAGAGAGAAAGAGAGAGAGAGAGAGAAAGAGAGAGAGAGAGAGATATTATGTATTTTCAATAAAAATAAATGTAAAATATTAAATAAAGAATAGTAAAAAAATAAATAAAATATAAATGTGTATTAAATTTGCATTATTCTCATAAATTCATGTTAATGATAAATAAAGTGAAATAATGTTTAAAAATTTTAATATGTGAAATTATAATATATAAAAATATTAAAATAATAAATATAATTTTATAATAATAAATAATAAATTATTTTGGTTAATTCTATGTACAATTATATCTATTATTCTAGATTTCAAAAACACATAATTTATATGTGATCATATAAATTAGTGCACTTTATATATGATCGAGTTGCACTTTATAAAACATCACGTTGCACTTTATATATATTATTATTTTATTTTTTAATACAAGGGCCAAATATATATATATATAGAGAGAGAGAGAGATATTATGTATTTTCAAGAAAAATAAATGTAAAATATTAAATAAAGAATAGTAAAAAAATAAATAAAATATAAATGTGTATTAAATTTGCATTATTCTCATAAATGCATGTTAATGATAAATAAAGTGAAATAACGTTTAAAAATTTTAATACGTGAAATGATAATATATAATAAATATTAAAATAATAAATATAATTTTATAATAATAAATAATAAAATATTTTAATTATTTTGGTTAATTCTATGTGCAATTATATCTACTATTCTAGATTTCAAAAAATACATAATTTATATGTGATCATATAAATTAGTGCACTTTATATATGATCGAGTTGCACTTTTTAGAACATTATGTTGCACTTTATAAATCAACGCGTTGCACTTTATCATCACATTCTACAATTAAAGTGAAACAAGTCCCGCCAAAATACCACATAATATTTAACATCAATCAAACTATTTATTCACACAAAAGACGAGCATGTCAACGTAGCAAAATTACAATAGTTCACTGTATACACTAATATGTTGTACTTTATAAAACAACGCGTTGCACTTTACAAGACAACACGTTGCACTTTAAAATGTTATCAGATTGTACGATAAGAATCGAAATCGGCCGAACTCAAAAATTTTCAACGCGAAATAATATATAAAGTTATTAACATATTAAATATAATTTCTATATAAATAAAAAAAACATATTTCGATTTGATGTCGGGACAAAAGTTCGAATGGTTCAATCTGCACAATATAGACCAACACCGTGCACCATATTGTTGGACGGATTGCACCTTAGTAGTTGTTATATTGCACAATATATTTCGTCTACATATATACTATTTTTTTAATCAAACAATAATATAAAATATCAATTAAAAATTATAAAATACTAATACTAAAATTTATGAAAATTTAAATTGAATAACCATATAAATATTGTTAAAATTATTATCAACACTCTATATTTAATAGATTTTTAGTAAATTTTATAATTAATCAGCAATTATAATGATTCATAATTAAAAGTAATTTTTTAAAACTGCAAATTGATCCCTATAATTTATCTAATTTAAAAAACAAAAACCCCAAAATCCATTTAAAAATAAGGGCAATAACAAGACATTTTGTGTCTAGGTCGTCCCTTTCATTCAGCACACCGCCGCCGCCGGACCGTTGTCGCCGTCGCGCCGCGTCGCCGGAGTCAGCCGCATCATAGCATCGTCACTGTCAGCCGACGCAAACTCCTCGTCTTCTTCCGCCACCGCACTGCACAGCCTCCGTCCGCCTGCTCGCCACCTCGTCTGTCAGCCGGCTCAACGCCTCATCTCCGTCCGCAAGCTCGTATCTTCGTCTCCGTCCGTCACCGCCGCCGTTCGCCGCCACGTAGCTTTGGTTCCGTCGGCCTCTACATTTGGTCGGTGGTCGCGGGCTCCGATTGGCCATCGAATCGAATGCCATTAACGTCGGAAGAGAGATTTCTGGAGAGAACCGCCGGCTGATTGGCCGATTTGGCCGTCGCCGGATCGGTGGCCGCAGAATTTGTGGTGGGCAAATGTCGAATTTGGCCGCCTGCAAACTGCGCCCGGTGGCAGTCGAAATCAACTGGCTGAAGACGGCGATGACGCAGGCTGAAGGAAGGTGGGGGCTGGCGACACCGCCGGCGGGAGGAAGGTGGTCACCGGTGCGACTGTGTGTGTCCCTGCGATGAGAGAGAATTGTGAGTTGGGTTCAGAGTGTGTGTTTGTGCGTGTGAGAGAGAGGGGTGAGTTGTATTATGATTGGTGGGGCCCACATGGATAGTGGATGAATGTGTAATTTCTAGAATGTCCTTACTAAGTGGATAAATTTAGATATTTGACCACGTGATGACTACTTATTTACGGAGTTGCCATTGGCAGATTTATCATTATTTAATAAATTTGATTTAATCATGACCATTGATATGTTTTATCTATTGGTTCAGAATCATTCTCATTTCTCGCATTAAGAGTCATTCTCATATGATCCCTTCTCTCTCTCTCTCTCTCTTATATATATATATATATATATATTGGTTTGGTTTTTTTTTGCCTTGGGATATTCTGTGCTTTTGTTCTTTTTGTTATGATAATAATGGTTTGATAAATCTTATCCTAAAAGTTGCACTAATGATTAGAACACTAATCTACTTATTTATATCTAATTATAAATGTCATCAACACCAAAGTAGAAATCAGCTATCAAAATATTTGACGTAATGTTGTTTTTATTTTTGTTATTTTTATTTTTCCTATTTTTCTTAAAATGTCAATAAGATAAATATTGCACTCTTTTGGTTCGACTGCAATATTTTTCATGCTTTTTTTTCTTATCGAGTTCGTTTGTTATAATATTTTTTTTCTCTTGTCTTCATTCTAACTCAATAAATAGTGTTTAGTATCATAACATATTTTAAACTAATATTATAATTTTTTAATTACTAATTTAACTTTATTGATATTAATTATTATGCACATAAGTTTTTGAGCATTTTATAAAAAATTAATTATTATATTAAAAATTATATAAAAGTCTTAGAAAGTATCAAAAAGTTCACATTGAAAGTTGAAAAAGTCTCAATAACAATCTCACAAAATCCACAAAAACCATTAAAAGTTGCGTAAAGTCCACAAAAGTCCTAAATTTTAAAAAGTCTTAAAAAGTCTCTAAGAGTCGTAATTGAATAAACAACTGTCAGAGTATTCGTGAATATATTTTTCATGAAACTTACCACATTGCTCTTATGGAAAAATAAATCCAGGGTCCAATGATATTATTATATAAAAAAAAGTGACAATGGCCAATAAAATACAATTTAAGCACAACCTAAACACAACTGCACGAAAAATCTGCACGAAAAATCCACATCTAAACACAACTGTCATTTAAGCACCTAATCTTTACACTGAGAAAACACCGTGTATCTTGTACAACTAATTAAATTCATTTTCAGAAAACCACCCCTGAATAGTATACTAATTGGACTTGCGACTCACCCAAGGGCACCATGAATGACTTCACAGCAATCAAGTGGAGTTAAACTTCACTGGCTTCATCATCATCAATCTTTGGCAACGCACTTTTCATGCTGTTATTTGTCTCCCCAAATGGAGATAATGGTGCTGACGGCACCTTAGCTATGTTTCCATTTCCTTTTTTCTCTGCCACACAATCTTGTAATGAATTTTGTGTATTATCATTCTCTGGCAAAGTGGAAGGTTCTCTTTGTGTGTTCTTCGAGGTCTCTGACAAATTTTGTGTTTCAGGCAATGAAGGAGGTGTAAGTGTAACAGTTTCAGCCTCGCTGGTTTTGCCAATACCATCTTTAGCGCCACCACCTGTGGAGCAGATTTTCCAGTTAGTAAGGTAGAATACAACACTAGCCATAAAATTTCAGCATGGTATAAATAATTTTAATTATCGAGATTGAGATTTGAGAAGGTAGACCCATTTGAGAAGCAGCGTTAGTTGGTGTTTGTGCATTTGAAGGAGTGGACGTACCTCCTGTTCCCTTCCTAATCCTTAACTGCAACAAACAACCAAGATTAAAATTTGTTAACATTATAGATATGGAAAAAAAAAAAAAAAAAATGGAAGAGAACTATTACTTCTGAGATATGTAAAAAACAAAAATAGGTTTCTTTTAGTCACACCGAATTGAAAACCATGTGCACGTCCTAAAAACGATCTTTCTGGAAAGAACAGTTGAGAAAAAAGTAAATCCGAGAAGCTTGGCCTGATACAGAAAATCTAAGCTAATTATACACTGGACCTGTTACAAGCAAACCCCTAAAAATTTGTACGTGCTTTCTCAAATTCCAATATTGCAGAAAAATAGAAACACTGAGTGGACATTTGTAATTTTGGGGATGGGTAACTTTTGCTTCAGTTCTCTTTCTCAAAAGAAAAAATTGATCAAACGACATAGAATGTGTTTGTATTAACCATAGGCATCTAATATTAAATCTGTAGAAGCAATATAGTTCTATGTCTTTCATTCATTAACACGATGTTAAGTGTTAACAAAGACTGTGTACGAGAGATGGACCAACAACATACCCTCACATTTTCTTCACAGTGCTTGATAACATGGGAGATATTCACATAATGACCGTGCAATAGCGAATAAGCCCACAAAAGGAGCTTCCGTGAAGTATTCATGTCCAGTATGTCGATCCCCTCAATGCCAGGCTGGACATAAGTCTCTGTCCCAAGCTGAGCTGGCACAATATAAAGATTTACGCCAGAAGGAAGCAGTGAACATGATGTGTCCTTATAGAAATTATAAGAAGATTTGAGCAGTGTGGCTGCAGTTTCCAAATCCTCATCTGAGACTCTCTTGATTATGACATTCTTTATCTTAGACAGTGAAGGGTTCCATTTATTTTCAAGAGCCTTGAGATGATTTACATCTTCAAAAGCCGAACTCCACAATTCCTCAGGCTGGAGATCGACACACAGAAGCTGTTCGATTTCCAGCCCACCACTCGAAGAGTCCATACCATGAATCTCGGTCGAAATTCTCGAGTGCAAGGGTGTTATTAAAACCATACTGATGACGAGTGATCTACACCAGGCTGCAGAAACATGCTTGTACACTTTGCAAAGGTTGCTGTTAGACAATTTTGGATTCTTCAAACGCTTACGGATCTTCTCATTTATTCCTTCAAGTGTTTCGAATTTGATATTTCTCTCTAATAGCTGAATATACTGATAGATATATCTGCAACAAAACCGAAAACCATTGCCATGTTACACCTAGAAAAAAGGAAAGATAAAAAGTTTGACAATAAAGGGAATTAAATTGTCAAAACCATAAAAGAAGGAAAAAGAATAGTATCTGCGCATCACAAATAGAAGAAAGGAAAGATAAAAGGTTCCATAATAAACGGACTAAAATTGCCAGAAGCAGAAAATAAAGGAAAAATGTTACTATCAGCACATATGAGCACGTCTCTACATTTTTATTATAATTATTATTTTGGCAAACATACCCATAGAGGCTGCTTTCAGTCAGTTCTGGGCTTTTGAGCTCAGGCAAATTGCAAATATCTGACCACAAATTCACCTGCTCCAAAAACAAGTTGAATAGCTTCTCCAGCAAATGCTCAACTTGGTCTGTAGCAGTATAAGAGCCACTACTGGCTTGACATATGGACGTAATTAAGGCCTTAATATACCTCCCAAGAGCCACTGGCACAAGATCTTCAAGGCACAAAGAGAACTGCATTCATGCCATAATAAGAAATTATCATTCCTACTTGAGCATTAACTAATAAACAATTTCTCCTCCTAATTACGTTAAATTGAAAATCTTGATGCTAAAACGCCATACTTATGTAGTTATGTTACATCAAAAGTACAATAATTGAGTTGCAAGAGGACTGAAGATGAAGGGCTTATCCACACAATAATATATTATTATTATTATCATTATTATTATTATTATTATTATTATTATTATTATTTGCAACTATTTTTTTTTTCTTTTTAATGCACACCAGAGCAGCTTTTGAGAATAACTTTTGTCAATTCTTCCACTGTTTCAGTCGTTCTGGAAATGTACTTATTCATATAATTTCATGTTGAAGGATTTTGCAGTCAAAATTCATTTATTATCCAACCAAGATGCTCAAGTATGCGGGTTATAGTTGTTAGTTATTTGAACAAATCATAGTAAGTTGTCAACATTAACGCATAAATACCCGTTTATCTGCCTTAAGACAGATATAAGCCCGTTCAAGGGTAGTGTTATCTCCAGTCTCCTCCAATAACTTCAAGTAGAACAAGATGTACTTCCTGATGCAAGTTATAAATTTACGAGAACTTTCTGCCAAGTTGACTTCAAGAGATCGCCTGTGACAAGGACCTGGAGTCTTGCGTCTGTTTCACAAAGAGAAATGACGATATCATCTAAAGTTGCAATAAATGAAACAAATAAAAGATAATACAACTGACAGATAATTTGGTCTCATTGTAGGAACTTATGAAAGCTTGCGAATGCAGACGAAAATTTGTCACATCCAACTTTTTTGTGTGTTTTTACTTATGAGGTCATATCCAATTGCTTTTAAAATAAACACAATTACATTATAGGTGCTCAGTTAGGCAAACCTAAAGGCCCAACAAAATATATCAAAGTCAACATCAAATTGCCACTATGAAAGTACTTGACCTTCTACCTTCCTTTCTTGACCATACTGTCAATCTCCCACATATTGATCGTAAACGACGAACGAGATGACTTAAAGCAAAAAGAGAGTTCCTCCTTTGCTTTCTCAAGATCCCCAGTACCACCTCTCCTGTAATACCCTTGAGCAAGCATATACCGGGCTTTGTGAAAATGCTTAAGGTCTCCTTCCACACACGTCTCTAAGGCAGAAAGGCAATCACTGTAAAGAATATTCCACGCCTTTTCAAATTTGGTTAAGGCTATCACCTCAGAGTTGCTATTGGATAAACCATCCTTGGTATGCGTTAATGTCTCTGGAGTTTCACAATCAAGTCTACTCAAAAGATTTGTAACGGTATCTTTTGTGGATTGAGCAAATGAATGTGCTGCAGCAACCTGGAAAACACAACACAAAAGGAAAAAAAAAAAGCCTCAACAATCAATTGTTACTTGTTAAGTATCATACATCAAATGGGGTGATTGATCCATAAAACTTGAAAAATAACAAAAGCCAGCACAGGTGGAAATAAATGATTTCCATGTATTTCCTTTTAACGTAATCTAATCTCCACTTCAATTATCATTTTCTCTATAATAGCATGTGTGCGTCATAAAATAGAGAAATAATATATATAAAAAAACACATCATATAAGTATGTGCCTTTAGAGCCTCTTCATTTTGCGTCCTGCATTTGCAGAGTAACTTCAGCCGAGATGCATGCATCCTGTAGAATGGATCTACAGCTGACGGGTTCATGATGATAGCCTTAGCATAGTATGAGAATGATGTATCATCAGGGTATCCAAGTTTCTCAGAGAGTTTACCCATATAAAATGCATGAGACCAATCCTCCCTGTCAACAAAAATATAAATTTACCAAGTCACCATAATGTTCCAACAAGGAATTTGTAGCATCAACTGACGAAAAAGAAGGATACTTGTGTTTTAAGGCTTTGTTGAAGTGGCTCATAGAATTCTGGCAAAACATCTTCCATGCTGCATCTTTTAGGGGCACGACAGACCTCTGATCATAAAATGGTACCACATTCTGAAGACCGTCATAATAAACTAATGCCAAAAGCTCGTGTATCTCACCCTGAAATTGGACAAGATAACAAGACAATTGTAAAGAATTAAAACAAATAATTTCAAGCACCATCCACATAACAACTTGGTTTAAAGCAATGATAACTTCTTGCAGAGAAGATTAATCGTTATCGATCAGAATGTCATATGATAATAGAAGCTCAAATTCATTTTCAGGACAGCCACAATTAAAGAAGCACAAGTACAAAATGATGGTCTCAATGAGAAGTACAAGTTAACTGGGCCTCATCCGCATGATACATGAATGTATTTAACAAAAACATTTTGATAGAATTGCCAAGAAATATATGAAAACCTGTTGAGTTGCTGTCTTTGCCAAAGCTAAAGTCATCAATAAGCATCGCCTGCTCCTTCTACGGCTTGATTCAACTCTGTGAGGTAGAGAAACACTTTTCCTCCATCCCGATACATTTATTTGTTTACTGCCATCATTAAGCAGCAAGTCCACCTCCTGCACACCAACAAGCAAAGAAGCATAAATTATATATATATAGGTTGTGCGGCTACTTTCCCTTTCCTCTTTCCCTTGTAATGGCATACGAAGAAGAATGTCAAGATCTTACCTCATCATATATATTTGCAAGGCTCTGCCAACTTTCAAAACGGAGAGGATTATATATCAAATCATATTTGAAGAGATTTGCATTATTATCTACAAATTCTTCCCCTTCCTTAGTTAGAACGAAACCAGCCCATTTATCAGTGGCGCTAAGTTCTTCGGACTGTGCAAGAAGATAATACAAATTCTGATAAACTTCCAGGAATGGGTCCGAGCTGCAAACAATGAAAAATTGTGTATACAATCATGTCCCAAGGAGATAATCCATGCAAAACTTACACAAATGAGGTACCCAATTATACCTTTCCAGTGACGACGAGTTTTGATGTTTGGGGGGTTCATCCTCTGAAAACACAATCTTCCTCATGGTACTCAAAAATCCTTCAGACCCAGCCTCTTCTGAGAGTTTATCTTCACATAATTCAGGATTATCTAAGAATTTTTCAATTGGATTTCCAGCCAAATCCCTGTCAGGCGGTTTAGGAAAGTGTTTGCGTATGGCTCTCAGCACCCTCCTAAGTTTAACCATCCCAGTTTTCTGAAAAGAAAAACATACATAAAAATATTTCAAGAAGGCAACAACAGCGAATTCAGGGGAGGCAACAAATAAAGAGAGGCTATATTGAATTTTTTAATCGAGTGCACAAATTGTTGAAAGCAAGCCAATGATGGCATAATAAAGATCTACTTACTGATGAAGCTCTTGCATATGGAAGTATATACTGAAACACGTCTGCACACTGTTCTTTAGTCTGGTAATCTCCTTGGCTTGTGTTTTTATGTTTCACTAATTCCTCTTCAGTAGATGAATCTAATCTCAGATTCAAACCATACAGACAGTAAAAACATTGATCTAATGCATTATCAATGATGAGCTCAAGCTCCTCTCTTTCATCATCATTTAGCTCATTCCCGCACGCTATATTTTGACTATTTACTGTTTCTTCATCACTGGACATGCTGTCAGGCACATAGCCAACATCACTGTCATATTTCACGTCTATTTGCTCCTTCTCTAAAACAGAAGAGAAGTTTTCAGCACTCGTACTTCCGGAAACATTTTTCTCTGCCGATTTGCTTTCATCCTTATGAATTTTGCCCACTTCCTTATCAAGCATAACCAAACGTGATTCTATATTAAGCTGAACATTTTTGGAAGTCTGTCGATCAAACTTGGTTTGTTCACCCTTATTCAGAGAGTTAGTAGACTTCAGCTTCATGTCTAAGGCCAAAAGATGCTTAATTGCAAGTTTCAAGAATGTCTCATCTTGTTCTTCACAATTTCCCCGAGCACAACAGATCCCAAACTCGGCAAGCATATCATGAATTGCAACAACCAGCTCCGCCTGATAGGAACATCAGAAAAGAAAAGGTAGAATGCAAATCTGAGATGAAAAGAAGATAATAATACTAAATAAACTTAAAAATACTTCAGTGAATTCAGAAACACATCCTTACTAGAGATTTGATCGTGACATTAATGTCCAGGTGCTCTAGTTTGAAGAACGCAATAGCAGCCTCCACAAAGCAGCATTGCTCTGGTTGCTCAGTTGACTCCAGAACACCAATCCCAGATGACTTTTTAGAGAAGCATGTAGCAACATTGCACATATAGGTTAGCAGTAAAGACTGGATATCACCAATGACTGCTAGGGGAATTTTTTTCTGCAATAAGATTTCCAAAACATAGTAAGCAACCTGAAAGAAACCAATGGAGTAAATATGCAAATGAGCTTGACTATATACCAATCTACAGAACAGATATCAGAAGCGTCGCTTATATCTTGCACACGGAAAACCTGCCTTAATTACACTGGTAGGGAGCACACCGGACTAACTTATAGTATCCATCAATGGACAACTTCAAGAGCAAATTCTAATTTGTGTAATTACATAATTGTTTAAGAACAAAATGTCCGTTCACGGGTATCAGAATAAAGTAGTTCATTAAAAGGTCCAGTCAAGAAACATTATCAGCTCAAAAAATTTTCAAAGTAAAAATCGATAAAACACAATTTTCCAGAAGAAATAGCTAACCATATGTCAAGTTAATTTTTTTTTTTTCTTTATGCCTTTAAAACAGAAGTGGCCAGGGGAAACTTGCTTAAATGTATATAAGCATGCCACTACACTATTCTATTCTACAAAATCAAATATAAAAGATGGAGAAATGTCAGGTATTAATAAGTTCATAAGATTTTTCTGGTTTCTGGGAATAAAACTGACGCTCTCTCGCAGAATGTAAGGGACTATATCTCAAATATGACACGGGGTTGAAGAGGCTAACACACTAATACCATTTTTCTTATATAAGAGAAACTCAATATGACAGTTGATCTAGTAGACAGACCTTGTGTCAATACTACCCTATGAAAAGTAAAATATATAGGTTTCTGATCTTTTTCCCCTTCCTATAGTTAATGCTAGACAAAGTAGCCAATTAGTTCACTGGGCTACTTTGTCCTGTTTCAATGAAATGCCAAAATTTCACATATTTAGACAGACAAAACAACTGGCACTAGAAGCTTTCGAAAATGATTACTTACAGAATTCTCACTGGAGTTGATAATACCCTTGATTTGTGATGCAGACCGAGAAATAGCCTTCACCTCTTCAGCAACTAAATGATTATAATGCTTCCAGAGGCTTTCTTTTGGCTGACTTTCCAAAGAAGTATTTAAACCTGGTGTGTTTTGAGGAGACTTGCTCTCCAAAACAGCTCCAGCTAAAAGTATACTGAGTTTCCTTCTATGACAATTCAAGTAGATGTCAATATCCATTGGTTCTGCCACTTCACACGACCTGATCAGAACATCTAATGCCGATAACTCAACTGAACTGTTTCCTTTATCTTCACGACCCAAATCACATAACACTTCGACATTAACATCCTTTGCCGATAATAAACAAGGAGCAAGCATCTTCACACATTCTGCATGCATGCTTTTCTCAAGCATTCCACTGATAGAGTTCTTCAACAAGTAATCAACCTCAATCAGATTTAATGCATGAAGGACCCTATCAACAGTCAGTTCTTTAATTATTTTACTGTGTGGCAAGCAAATAGAACCACGTGGGCTGTTCACCTTATCCTTACCTGTGAAAAGGGCCAACACGATAGAAAGTTCTTTTTGAGCTTTTTCTTTATCACCTTCCAAAAGAGACAGCCGTGCACTTAACCAGAAAAATCGTATCCAGAACCAGTTCTTGTTATTTAAATAGGACGAGTTGTCTTTTTGGTCATTCTCCGAGACATCCCTTACTGAATAGTCAATCTTCCCGTTCACTCCAGTGATATGAAATGGATATTCCAGAGCTACAGATTCCACAATCTTACAAAGATGATAGGATGCTTCTGATATGAAGTTGCTCATCAATGTTTCAGAAGACTGTAACCCCATATCATAATACAGCTCCGCAAGAAAAAGACTACACTCAGGACTTCGTTCCAATCCCCAGTGCCTTGTAACCTTCTCTAAGTCCAAAACTTTTGTTATACTATCCTGATATGAAATGCTTCTATTTGCAATTTTCTCTAAGAGCAAGTGACCCATGTGGTAAGCACCAAAATTATTGGAAGTATTCTGGACAAATTCAATAACATCAGGAGATTCCGAGTCCACTGAATTACTCAATACTTCAGCACTATGAAAAGAAGGATCAGAATTGCTGGGGCAATTTGCAGGTCGGGTTCCCTCCATTATATAAGGCACCAGAAATTGTTTCACAACTTTAGCAGGATCCTTACTGGTGGAAAAATAAGAATCATCTTTACCTGGTTTGCGGCTCCTGAGCCTTTCGAGACGACTGCTTCGTCTCTCTTGAGGTTGTTCATCAAATAAGGTTCCTTCCTTCTCATTTACAGGTTCGGAATTATCGAAAGGCCTTGCTGCACCATCTGGCAGGATAAATCCTTTATTTTCAGTAGAACCAATTACAGCAGATGAAGGCAACTGTATGCTTAGTCTAACATCCCCCGATGTAGGTGATGAATTCAAAATGTCCACTAATTCACCAACAAGAGCTATCCAGGAGGCTTCTGAAAGATGAATCTCAATGTTTTGCTTCATCCTTTTAGATGCTGTGGTCATTTCCAAGTCCTCATCAGTAGCTTTTCTCTTCTCTGGAAATTTTAGGCGTATATGTTTTGGTTCTAGTTTATCTATGCCCCTTGGAGTGAAAGGAATTGGTTCCGAGTCCTCAATAGTATTCTTGACATGCAATGCCCGAGAATGAGATGGCCAGTGCCTTAATATAAGTTTTGCAACAGAAAGACATGCGACCTCATCACCAATTGCGATAAGGACTTCCAAGAGTTTCTCCATGCAATTCCCTGCATATTCCAAATAAACCGAACGGTTTGGTTCTGCAATGATTAATTTTATAAACATGGTCAAAATAAAACCTACAATTAGAAAGGTAGCCCATATTGAATAATTCAGGCCCCGCATGAAAGGGACAAAACGGTGATCTGCGGGATTTTAACGAGAAGTGGGGTTGCATGGAGAAAGATTAAATAAATAGCTTACAGTTACTAGGGCTGCAAATTAGGCCTTGCTCAAAAGCCCAACGGGAGATACTTAATGAACCCATGGAACAAGATAGGGTTCCTAATTGGTTCCAGACAACAGAATCTCTACCATCAATCTCTACAGCTTGAAGATAGCAACATAAAGCTTTGTCATAACAGGAACGACCTTGCTGGAGAAAAACAGTTGCTAGGTTTTTTAGCGCCAAAAATCTGCAGGAAGCTATAAAAGTTCGGTTAAAGTAATTACTCAGCTAGCACAAAAATTTGAAGGCTCCAATACGACACTTGAAGAGCTTATCCTAGAGACAATATAACAATGTACTATGATGCACACAGAATTACAGCACGCGTAGAAAATTATGAAGTACAATGAGAAGAGGTTAAAAGAAATGACTGTTGATCAAAACCTGAGCTGTAAAATATGACCATCACTTGCACTTTCCACCTGCAAACCAAAAAAAAAAAAAANGAGGACCGTGAGTTCAGGAGATACCAATTAGTTAGCCAGAAAAAAATACCAATCAAACAACAATAATCCAGGTTACTGTACAAGCATCTTTTATACCAATTAATCAAAATTGACAACAATATCTGTGAAGAGATAAAGGCTACACAGCTTCATAATCACAATGGAGTCACTAAATCAGTGGCTCTTATCAGAGGTTGTAAATTTAACTATGTTATCAGGGAAACTGTTTTAAGGTTGTCTTTTTGTGAATACATGATTGGAATAATCTTGTCCTCCATAATCATCAAACCATGTTCTTGTCTGTTCAACTTAAGCATTGGTTAAGCTAATTCATCAAAGTTTGAACGTGATTAGGAATCCGTATCAGAAGGAAGGAATATTTATAGCCGGGATGGAGATGGAGATGGAGACTCGGCAGAATAGATGTATACTTACAACCACAGAAGAAAAACTAAGAGCACTCAAAAATAAACAAGAGCTTTCAGGATTGAGCTACCATATCTTTGTTCATTTTCAGCTTGACTGGACCTCATTTGGGTTGTCATAAAGCAAACATAAGCAAATCATATATATTACAAGTATGATGAGAACTAATCAATGTGTTACCTGCCGAGAATCACTCCATCCGGGAGGTCACCATTCAAACTTACATATATACTGGTTGAATAAATAATAGATTCAAAAGATGATAATGTGCACTCCCAAACAGTAAGCTTAAAGACAAGATTAACCAGAGTTCAATTATCCATACCTTGAACCGTAAATTAACAAAAAGGACAGCCATGGCCAAATTTATGGCACGATTACAGCAAGTGTAACATGATAGATACGAACTAAATCCTCACCAACTCATTAATATCAGAATGTATTAAATTAGTTGACAGAAAAAATAAGAATTCTGGCAATAAATATAGACTGGTTAGAAAACAGCTCTTGCCTGAGCTTCTTTGGTTGGGGCTAACGGCTGCCACTGATTCCGTGATTCTGTATCATTAATAGCTGCAATGGAAAACTGAAACTCGCAAATTTTTGACAAGGTTAAGCCTCTGTAGATCGAAAAATCGGCTAAGATTTGAAATTTTCGTGTGGCACGAAGTGCAAAATGCTGCAAAAATTGTACAACTCACCATAATGTATGATTTCGTTGGAGAAAATAACAAATACTTTCTTCTTCGCACTTGTGAGATTTAGGCGGGTTTTTTGTTGGAGGTTTGGTGCTAAAATTCCAGTTCCTATTACATCATTTTATTTTTATGGAAATCTGAATTTCACCCTTTTCATGGAATTTTGAAGTGGGTTTTTCTACAATCGCTCGACAACATAAGGACAGAAAGTTATATTTTTTAAAATTTCGGATATAATATTACTAGTACCACTGTATGAATATTACTTGAAAAAAATTAATATGGTTATTAAAAAATAATAAAATATCTACATTCTTACAAATACAAAGAATTCAAAAAGTGATATTATTTAGAGTGTTACTATTCACCCTACCGCCGTAAGCATATCAAAACCAGTGTTAGTCTAGGCCTACACTGAAAAATAAAAAAAAAATCTATATATATATATATATAGCTCATATTATTATATCAATATATAAAATAAAGCCCATATTATATTAACTTTGCTCATGAAAAAAACACCTAATGCAAAAATAATCAATATACTAATATAATAAAGGATTCAATTAACAACAAAACTAACATTACACAAATTTAATAAAAGTGTCTCGTGGGCACTTCACGCAAAACGCACATACACAAACAAAAATAGAGAAAAGAGGGGGAAGAGAAAAAAGGGTCAAAGAGCTTATCAATTTTTGGTTCAATTGTTTGAGAAGACGACTTGCGAGGTACCAAAATCCCTTTATTTTTTGGTGGAGTTAAAACTTATTCTACTTTATTATTTAGGTAATGGTAAATGTATATTTTTTTTATGTAGAAATTATAAATTAAATCCGAAAGGTGCTTATAGTTCTTTAGATTGTGATATGTCAAAATAGAGAATTTTATTGATTGTAAATTTATTTACTATTTTTTGTATATCAGATATGGATAGATATTTTCAAAAAAAGGCCCCGTCAACAAAGTGCTTGTGAAAATGTCTCGAAAGAGATACTTTGAATTCAAATAGATTTGAAGAAAATTCTAGTGTCACTGGGCATAAAGAAAATACAACCGGAAGTTTAATGATGATCGATGAGTTCGATTCTTCTCAACTTCCCTCTGATCCTGGATTGAGAATTCTAGACTCAAGGTACAGTCCAAAGATTAAAGACCAAATTCGAAGAGCATGTTTCCAGAAAGGCCCTTGTCAACCGTTTGATCACCATTTTCTCATGACAAAAGCCTCAGTGTCATCAACAAACGCTAGAAGATTTATTGCTGGTTGGTTTACTAACATGAGTGGTTGGAGCATAGCATTTCTAAAGATGTTGCATATTGTTTCTACTGTTATCTTTTTAAACCAATCAGAGAAAACCAATCAGGAGGGGAAACATTTGTTACAAAGGGGTTCAGGTCTTGGAAAGAAAAATCAAGACTTGATGTTCATGTCGGGAAACATGACAGTGAACACAATCAAGCGAGCATGAACTGTGATCCACTGATGAATCAAAATGTGCACATTCAAAGAGCTCTAGAAAAACCCACTAAACGAATGAGGGATGATTATCGCATTCGGCTCACTGCATCTCTTGATTGTGCACGACACTTGTTGCGATTGGGGCTACCTTTCCGGGGTCATGATGAATCAAAGGATTCTCTTAATCCAGGTAATTTGCTTGTTGCTCTGGAATTTTTAAGAGCTCATAATGATGGTATTGCTTCGGTGACAATGGAAAATGCTCCTAAAAATTGCAAGTTAACAGCTCCTTGCATTTTGAAAGATTTATCTTATGCTTGCGCCGCAGAAACTGTTAATGTGATATTAAAAAATGTCGGGGATTCTTTTCTCTATTTTGGTTGATGAGTCTCGTAACATATCGACTAAAGAACAAATGTCCATCATTTTGAGATATGTAGATTCTTGTGGACATGTAAAAGAACATTTTATTGGAGTTGAACATGTCACAAGTACTACAACAATTTCTCTTAAAGATGCCATTGACAAGATGTTGTCGAGACATAATTTGAGCATATCTAGATTGCGAGGGCAAGGTTACGATAGGGCTAGTAATATGCAAGGGAGGCTTAATGGTTTAAAAACACTTATTTTAAATGAGAATCCAAGTGCACATTATGTGCATTATTTTGCTCACTAGCTCCACCTAGCCCTTGTAGCTGTGGGTATAAAGAATATTCCAATTGCTGATTTTTTTCGGATGGTTTCTCAATTGATAAAGGTTGTTGGAGGTTCTTCTAAACGTTGTGATCTTCTTCGTGAAAAACAAATGAGCTATATTGATGGGGCACTAGAAGGGGTGAGATTTCAAGTGGATGGGGTCTAAACCAAGAAGCTAGTCTTCAGCGACTGGGTGATACACGTTGGGGTTCGCATTATAGATCTTTGATTAGCTTGATTTCTTTATTTTCTCCTGTGGGTGATGTGCTTGATGTAATATATGTGGATGAGTATTCTACTTCTATCCAAAAGGTAGAGGTGGAGATTTTATTGAAGTTGATTCATTGCTTTGATTTGTGCTAAATTTGCATATGATGAAAATCATCTTGGGAATATCAAATGAGTTGTCCCAAGCACTACAAATGAGAGACCAAGATATTGTGAATGCAATGGATTTGGTTACAGTTTGTAGATATCGACTTGAAGAGTTGAGAGATAGTGGATGTGATTTATTATTTGACGAGGTTTGTCAGTTTTGTGAGAAACATTCTATTGATGTCCCCGATATGACTAGCATGTTTATTCGATTTGATCCTCACGGTCGTCCACTTCGTAATGCACCCAAAATAACAAATTTGCATCATTATCGAGTTAATTTATCCTATGCCGTGATTGATTTGCAACTACAAGAGTTACATGATCGTTTCTCAGAGACTAGTATGGAGTTGCTACTTTGTATAGCTTATTTATCTCCACGAGATTCTTTTTCTGTTTTCGACAAGGGAAAATTAGTCAAGATGGCTGGGTTTTATCCTCAAGACTTTGCTACATCTCATGTTCTCATGCTTGAGGATCAGTTGCAGAACTATATTGTTGTTATGCGCTTCAACAATTTGTTTAAAGAATTGAAAGGACTCGGTGAACTTGCAGAAAAGTTGGTGCAGACGAAGAAGCACAAAGTGTTTTCTTTTATTTACAAACTTTTAACTTTGGCGTTGGTTTTACCGGTTGCAACAGCTAGCGTGGAACTAGTATTTTCCGCAATGAATATTATTAAGGATAGATTGAGCAATCGAATGAGTGATGATTTATGATAGACTAGTTTATGTAGAAAAGGAAACCTTCTTGAAAATTGGTAATGATATTGTTATCGAGCGATATCAGGCCATGAAAACTCGTAAAGAACAACTATGAAGGTATGTTTTTTGTATTTGCATTTTTTCTTATAATATTTTATATTTGCTAGATTTGCCCCTGCCCGTGGACAGTTTTGCAGCTGACATTTTTCCAAAAAATTCAAAAAAATCATAAATTCTCTTAGACCAAGCGATTGCCGGTGAAAATATGTCTGACGACGAGGTACGATTTTGGGCCGGCCGGCCATGGCCATTGGCGGCCGCAATATGCAGTCGGCCGGTACCCACCGCGGCCGCAGTCGCCGGTCGACCAGTTTTTTTAAGATTAATTATCTTATAAATTAGAATTTGTTATTATTATGTTAGAACTTAGAAATTTTTATGTTATAAATTAGAATTAATTATCTTATAAATTATAATTTGTTATTATTGTGTTAGAACTTAGAAATTTTTATGTTATAAATTAGAAATGATTATCTTGTAAAATTATTAACATTATAATATTTTGCAGGTATCATTCGAAGATTTTGGAGGAGACGGTATTGATTACAGTTCTGCTTTCATTACGGAAGAAGTATTCGGTAGTGATGCAGAAGCTACTACATGGGCAAAAGAAATGCCAATTATATTAGGTTTTGAATTGGTAATTTCTTCACACAAAAAAAAAAAAAGAAAGAAGGATTAAGGTGTTGAAGTGTGCGCGAGGTGAACGTTACAGAGGCAGTTTAGGAGATTTAGATCGAGCTGTTGCCAGACGTTCAAAGACTAAAGCATGAAATTTCCCTTTTCAGATATCGGTCTAACATGTGGCACAATCTACGTCTTGGAGGATCCGTTTAAATGTTGTTGCTAATAGGGGAATGCATAATCATGCAATGGATGTATATCCTGAGGGTTATCGACAGACGAGCGGACTTACCGCTTTATATAACGATATTGTCCGTGATCTGACTACTGCTCAGGCACTGCGTCCAGATAAAAGCCCAGAAGACAACGCTACTTGGAGACATGTGTATAACTATAGAGATCAATTGCGGAGAGATAGTTCTGAGGGTAGAGATGTGGCTACCAAGATTCTGCAATTGGCTTCGGAGAGCAATTATATAGTTTATACATATGTTGATGAGGAGACACAGGCGTTGACACATCTGTTCATGTCGCATCTTCAAGCAGTCAGTCTATTCCGGATATATTAATGGTACATCGGTATAAATCGACGTATAAAACTAACAAGTATGTTACTTTATAAATAACAAATTAGTATGAATCTTAATTAGTATGTTTTATGTTTTTTTATTCTATGTGGTAATGTAGAACCTTCGACCGGCTGGAAATCGGTTTGCTCGTGCTCTCCCTCGCCGATTGAACGCCTCGTACTTGCAAACACTCTCACACCAGAGGGGTTTTCCGGTGAAGAGCCTTTGATGCTTCAATGAGTATGTGTAGAAGATGAACTCTCAAATAGTATAATGAATCTAATAGCTAAAATCACAAGTCTCACCCCTATATATAGGGGTAAGGTACCTGTTCTAGGAGCTGCTGAGTCAGCTGCCCAAATTGCCTGAGCTGCCTGGTCGTAAAACACACACTGGAGGTGTGTCAGAGACCGTTATAGGATATAGGCCAACCCGGCCTTACCACGTGTCCTAATCATATGGGAGTTTGATTCCCCTGAGATCTTCGCGAAGACTCGACCAGCTCTAGGTCGACGTGATGCTATAGGTTAAGTTTTGACCAGGCTATCCGAGAGCTCTGGCTCGACCTATACTCCTCATACTGAAACCCCCTTTAAGTTGTCTTCCCGTCCAGAGGCTCTTACCTATGACGTTCGACCACGACCACCCCATTCGGATCTCGCTCGACCAGGTAATGCGCTCGGTTCATTTGACCGGCCTGCTCGACCGGTTTACTCTTTTAGGTATAGTATCTCATATCATCTAGTCCCATCCACTTTGGTCAAGTCTGAATGACTTAATCTAAGAGTAGATTTTCGTTCATGGTTTAGCTGTTTCACCACTCGTTGCCCATCGACCACTCGACGTGTTCCTTTATGCTTTTCAACGTTGTCCTCCTTCTACTACCGCCTTGAATTTCAAACTTTGAACCTGCCACCTGTCAGATCTGTCTTATTTTATTTGCTCGTACTTCGCACCACCTTAAATGCTTGTCCACTCGTACTTCTCCCCCTTTGAAATTTGACTCGTAATTCGCCCCCTTTGAAATTTGAAATTCTCAAAATCTCTGAAATTCTAAATTTATTTGCTCAATTATCGTTTATTAACTACTCGTCTCTGATTGCCTTATTTTATCTGCTTAGTTATTCAATTGCTATGTGACTTTATTTATGTGCATACTATGTGGATTGAATTATTATTTGTGTCATAATTATTAAGATTTATTAGAATTTATTTGTTTCGGCGATTTTCGATTTAATCGCGTAAACCGAACCTTTTCCGTTGTAATCCGTTTTCGAGTCGTTTCGACCCGAACCTTGAATATATCATTTTAAACAAAGTCCTTCATATATTCGGTTCATTTTAGCCCATAAAACCCGGCCAATTTCTCAAAATGAATGAGCCGCCCCAATGCTTTAAAAATGTGGCCTTTTTAATTTGAATTTCAAATTTAAGAATGCCCAATGTTTGGTGAGTTTGTTCCAGCCCATAATGTAATGCTCCGAACTCGTGTCATTCATTTTATGCATATTTAGTATTTTTCATGATTAATTAATTAATGTTAATGTTAATGTTATTTTATTTTATTGTTGAGCTCGATTTTTATGTATTGATTAAGTGAGTGTCCACACTCATTAATTATAAATATTGATAATTGGAAAAATTATTTAGATGTCCTCATCTATTTAATTTTCCTAAGTATTAAATAGTCATAATATTAATATAATTTTTATTATATTAATGGGATAGATTAATTAATTAATTAAAACCTTAGCAGTAATTAGCAGGAGTATTAATCTTAGATTTTTTGAGCATCAAAAATCGGCCCTAAGGAGAGAAAAAAAAAACGTGAGAAGTGTGAAAAGATAAGAGAAAAAAATCTTGTCTTGATCACCAAGCCAAAAAGAATCCCACACACATGGAAATAGGAATCCTTTTTCTATTCCAAGTCTTATAAACCTAGCTTTATAAATATATTTCTTCCCTCATGAGATTTATTTTTCCCTACGCTAATTATTTCACAAGATCAAAAATCTTATCTTCAAAAGAAAAAGAAAAAAACACACGCACACAAGAAGAAAAAAAAAAATAAAGAAGAGAAAACTCCATCCCTTCACACGTTCAAGCCTACCGCCAAGAGCCCGAGCTTTTTCACGAGTCATTCTTTTCTTCTTTTTTTTCGAGCACAGTAAACCCTCTTTTCGATTCTTGGGCTGAATTTAATGTTCATAATATTAATAAAGCATGATAAGATATGTAAATTAACAAGAGAATTATATAAGATTCAATGATTTTCTTTTATATTTAATGAAAGACCAAGTTGGATCTTGGACAATTTGATATTTTTAAAAAGATTTTTAATGTCTAAGAAGTTGATAATAAGGCTTGCTTAATGAAGATTATGTGCCATGTTGAATTGAATGATTATTGATGATGATTTATAGAAGTTATGCATGAAATTTCTGTTTTCGTGGCCTCTGTTGTGAGCCTTTTTTGGCGACCAAGAACTCGTTTCTTGAGAATGTGTTTTTCATGAAATATGGGGAAAATTTTGTTAGGTTTCAGTAGGCTTTAGAATCTTGGAAATCGGAGTTCATATGGATTTTATATGATTTTTACAAATCAGTTGTGTGCCCAGTTTTTATGAAGTCAGGACTGAGAATATACCTTTAATGTATGACCCACTTTGATGTGTCAAACGTACTCAAATGTGAAAATGGTCTTCACGAGATATGTAACCATATGTCTTTAGTTTCTGTAAGTTTTGGAATTTCATGATTTTATGGCCTATAGCTCGAGATACATGAGAATTACTGAGGTTCTGTATGTAATATAAGTTGATTTCTGGCAGTTTTTATGAACTGAATATTTTAGAATTAAACTCGATGATAATATCATTATTTGCCAATGTGGTCCTCAGCAACGTTGTAGATAATTAAGTTGTCTGCCTTGTGGTTTTTGAATCTTATGAAAAACATGTCTGTAGCTTCAGTTATCTTGCAATTACTGAAGTCCTGTCAGCTGTTTTATTTCAATCATTGACTGCGGCTATGAATTAGATGTTTGCTATATTATGTGCATTTAAATGACCTTATCTGTTTGAGTTGTCATCATGAAAGTTGTAGAGGCATGAGTTAGGGATAATTTCCAAGTAGAATCATCATTATATGACCTATGGACCGAAAGTTACATGCATTCTAAGTTCATCGCGCATGCTGAAAATTGTATAAGTTCATGTTTGGAATTCCAAATTGATTATTATTGTTAAAAAAAAAAAAAAACATGTTTAGGTGGCATAACTGATCCATATCATGATATTTGAAGTTTATATGACCCTTCAATGCCCTATGTAATAAAGTTAACCAATCTAAGTTATCAACCAATCGAAAAGACTTAAACATAAACGTTTTAGGGCCATGTTTGATAAACAAGATGAGATTAGACAATAATAATCTTAAAGGCCATGATTACACTGTTAGGATGTTTTTAATCTCCAATTTGGTGTCCATGATTGCGTGAAACTGACTGGTTGGACAAAGTTCCCATTTATGTTTGAGGCGCGTGATAATTGTCAGGATGAAAAACCAAATTACTGATTTACCCTTATATTATATTATCTAATTTAATTGTGAAACATTCCCAAAAAACGTAGGACCCGAAAACAACATCCATTGTTGTTGTTTTTGTCCCCCAAAATTTACCCTAATCAGTCGCCGGTTGCAGGGACAAAGTATTACCTTCGGGCATTAAAGCAATTGATGAATCCTATCGCGGTAATGCCTTGGTGTGTCTTGCATCTGGAAACTTCGGCCATTATTCCGGTGAGCCATCGTTACGGTTTTGTTGTGTCCAATCAACAGTGGGAATATATTCGCACCCATGTGCTTGTGTTCAAAAAATGTATCATCATATTCCCTGTTTTGAAGTTTTCAATCTTCTGTGTTGTTGTCAATTTCCTGAAGATTCGATAATGAAATAGGATACAATTTGGCAGCTACATTGACAAGACAAATGGTTTACAAATGGTGTATTGAATCTCTTTTTCAGCTTTCCCAGGTATTGACAAGTCATAATATAGTGGGTTGTGTTTATTTTTTATACAAGTAGCCTCATCTTTGTTCTCCTGTTCCCCTGTCTATATAAAGGCACTCAAACGGGCATTTTTTTTCATATACACAAGTGGCGTCCATAAAATAGGATATTGTTAACAGTTCCTCGATTCTCACTGAATACCATTGTAATGCCACGTTTGGGAATGGATGCCACACAGGAGGAGGTTCTTTACGATGCTCGGTGGACAAAAGATGTGGACAACCTCTTCATAGACCTCCTCACCGAGACACATGTTGGTGGTGAATGGACACAAGGTAGGCCAGGCACTCATGTCTTCCTTTACTGCCGTGGTGTTTTGGTTGCAGATGTTGGTGCAACCTTTACTGTGAATGAACTACAGGAACGGTTCGATTTCCTTCACAAACGGTTCCGCGTTTTTAGTTGGATGTTACGAAAACATGGGCTGCGCCACTGTATCCAGTCGAACGTCCTCACGGCTCCGGTAGCAGTGTGGAATGATATCTTCGAGGTATTCCCTTACCATTTATCATAGCACCGACGTTACTCCTATGTGTTTGAGTTTTGAAACTTTACACTTGTACTTAATTCTCAGATGGGTCTTAATTTCTGTTGCTAAATGATGAATGGAAATTAAGATGTCCTCTTATGTTTTTTGGGTTTTAAACACTTCTCTAATTACCAATATTTATGAAAATTTGATGCGAACGCATGTATTTTCTCTGCTTGCCAATTCAGGCCGTATTTTGTGTTGTGTTCCATTACCAACAAAATTGGCATATCTTTGAACAATGTTTCTTGTGAATGCTAGGAGTTGATGTTGGCATTACTTATTCTTGTCTGACAGTGCATAGCATTTTTTTATGCAGTCAGACCCATTCTCGGTGGCATACCAACATTCGGGGGACCCGCGTTGGGCGGACATACGATACTTGTTCACAGAGGTCTATGAAGCCACCTCCAATTCACCAAATGTGGTGGACCAAAATTCCATCAACGAAAATCATTTAGCGAGGTTGACCGAACAGTCCTACGTCTTCTCGCTTTCTTCTCTCACCAATGCACCATTGCATGGTTCAATCGGAAACGAAGGTATTCAGCCAAGAAATGGTCGAGACCGTGACGCTTCATCGGAAGGTTCAGTCAATACACATACACATGTGAGGATTCCCAGGCGGGGTGGTGGGACACCATTGCGCATTCCACGACCACCACGGAAGCCGGCACCATCGTCATGCAAAGGGTCTTCTAGTGACCCACCAAACTGAATTGTTTTCATTTTGTTTAATGACCGTACTACGCTTACCTTACCTTATTTCGTTTATTTTGCTATTACTGAGTAAAATTATTATTGGCATTAAGTAATGTTATGTTGTTTGTTCCATGTGGTTGTATTAATGAAATCATGCATCTTAAATTAAACTTCCTTTTAGCTTTAGATGTGTGTGTGTGTGTGTTTACAAACTTTACATGCGCGTATGTCAGTGGTATATTACTTTTTTCTATTGGATATTGGACGTGGTATAGTATTGTTCATAGACTCCAAGTGTGAAAACCTTATTTCTTCCCCAATATACAAGTACTTCAAAAAAGGTTCTACAAAATATGAACTTTGGTTCTCATGATGGATCGATTTTTATGGAACTAACCAGTCATCATATTATCTGTTAATGTCATGGCGTCATGTGTTTAATGTTATTATTAGGTATTTATATTGTGGAGTACAATGCTTCAATATGTACGTGTGTGAACGAGAATTCATTGTGTATGAACTAAAGTCTCCACCCAAGTAGTACAAATATCGACATTAAACATTCAAAACAAGGCACCCAATACCCAATCCCCCATTACATGTGGCGCTTCGATTTCAATAAGCACCTTACAGACCAAAAAATTAGTTAGATTGGTAAACAAAAATAACCAGACCATAGCCAGCTTATATATTTTAAATACGCACAGTACTTCCATATGCAAAATACATACTTAATAAGGTTAAAAACCATAATCATATGGTCGGGACCGAAATACCAAAAAGATTTGTAAGGCCGTCCCGAACAGCTTTTGTGTTCACACGGAGTCGACACAGGAGTCCACATCAGACTCCTCATCCATCAAATCCTCGTTGCCATCAACATTGAAGAGGGGATCCATAGGAAGTGGCAGATCATGGATTGGGCTACCAACATGCTGATCAACCTCATCATAGTCATCAAGTTCATCCTCCATTCCATTTTTCGACGAGACCACGTATGTGATAGTATCATCTAGACGAATCGGATTCTCATTATTCGCACCAGGGTTAGCTTGGACGTTCACTTCGGCTGCCCCATGTATGTTCCACAGCTGCACACAATGATTGTACCATTTGAAGCCATTCCAATGAAAAACACTTCCATATTGGACTCCTGCAGATTATGTTCAATTTTGTTTTGGTTAAATTTTGTTTTGCCAATAAAAACTTTATACAGTCCGCTGAGGAAAAAAAATTACAAAAATAAAAAAGGTAATAAATTATAATTACCTCTCCGACGACATTCCAATACTCTCTGTTGACGCTAACCAAACCGCCATCCTCATGCACTCGAACTCCCGGTATGGTCAAGAAGCGAAGGAATTCACGGTAATGCCCTTGAAGACAATGGATTTCTCCCGCACCTTCATCCACGTGAACTCCTTTTGCATGAGGTCCGATAACTGACGGGATATTTCGAACCACAGGGAATTGAGGACGGGAGCCTTGTCGATGTCATCTGTTTCAGCACACAGCTGAAAAAAGAGGCGATAGCAAACCTTCTCCTCGAGCTCGGTCCACCCCTCCAACCGGAAGTCGCGCGCAATGTTCTCCAGGCTCGTCATCCGATCCATGAGACTGATGCAAGGACCTGCTAGGTTGAATCCAGATAGTTAAAATAATACGGATAGTTAAAATAACGTATTACTGCAAAAAATTGTATAGTACATGACGTTTAAAAACGAAAAGAAAATCTGTTATGAACCAAAGACTACCTTTCTGCGTTTGTGAAGTTTCTTGTTGATGGTGAAGTTCCATGCACAAAGCATGTAATTATATAGCGTATTGGGGTCATTGCAGGACTTCATTACACCATTTACTTCGGTAGGTACCAATCAACTCAATTTAAATGGAAGTCATCATTTGCCTTGTTTTAGCTTGAAAATTGTAATCTCATTTATTCCCCGCAGTAAATATGTGTAGTTGGGTGATAATCCTTGATTTTCACTGTTTTAAAACATATCATATGAAAATCAGGTTAGTTGGTTTGCACATTATTTCCCAAATATTTCGGACATTAGTATACGTACTTCTGAATTCATTTTATTCTTATTTAGGGCTTTAAACTGTGTCTATATTTCGCAGACTTATAAACCCGACTTGTACTTAGTGGCTGGAGTGATTAATTTTTTTAATTATTATTATTATTATTATTATTTTAATTATTATTATTATAAGTATTATTCGCATTACTATTATATAATTATTATTTATTAATGTTACGTCATTATTATCAATTTCTTTTACCACACAATTTTTTTCCACACAAATTTTTTTTTCTTATTATGTTTTATTTACATAAGATATACATTAGTGGTTAATTTCAAATTAAATCTAAAATTCAACTCCTCACATTCTTGAATTTGAATTTTTAAATAAGGAAATGTGTTTCCATATTTTTTGGAAGTTAGAATATGTTGGATTCATTTATCTATAACTAATCATACACCTATTCAAAATTTGAACCCAAACAAAATTCTTTGAATTTTTTGCTAACAAAATCACCTTCCCATAATTTATTTATTTCGAAAGATGTTACCACACAATCTTTTTAATTTTGTTTTTAATTAAATTTTATTTACATAAAATATACATTTGTTAATATTAAATTGAATTTAAAATTCAACTCATCACAAATTTGTTAATATATATATATATATATATATAGAGAGAGAGAGAGAGAGGATTCTCTTTTTTTTACATATTTAAAAAAAATCTAATCAAATTTTATATAGTAATAGATGTAAAAACTTGTAAGTAATAAAGTAAGATTAATTTGAACCCGAATTACATAAAAATTTGCACATTAGTAATGCATATACTAACATATTATATATATATATATATATATATATAAAATATGTGCAATTCTTCATGACTTCATCCACTAGTACCTCGCAGTTACTTACGTGGCTAGTTTCATTTCAAATTCAATGCTTTTTTATTTCCCACACACGGGCAAACGTGCACTTTATTTTAATACTCATCAATTTTTGTACCTTTCAAAATTCAAAAACCGAAACCTGTGTGGTGGTCAACGGGCCGATTTAAGCGACGTCTACAAATTGGAAACCTGGAGAGAGAAATTCCTCGCCACATTTGAAGACTCTACATCTGCGTACGAAGGCCCCATTCTACCGACACACCACGGATTGTGCCATCGACCGAATAGGTGCTGTGGAAGAAACTTCATCAGCAGATTTCACAGGTACAGATTTTCAGAACCTGCCTCTCTCATTTGTTCGACTACACAGGTAAAAAGGGTTTAGGGTTCATTTGTACACAATTAAGATTAACTTCCGTAAATTAGTTTTATGTGATATTGGGCTTCAGGGTTCTCTTAATTTAACTGGAAATAGGGTTTTTCATGTTAATTAGGGTATTTGATTTTTTGGATCTCATTTGTCAACTTTCCGAAGGTGAATAGATTGTCGGATTTTCTTGCCAACACAGCAGATTATGCGAATTAGTGTTCGAAATTAAAAAGGGGGCATGTAATTGTTGTTAGGGATTCGGCCTGCTCTGAGAAATTATGTTGTGTAACTTGGCGATTGTATGTTTGTTGATATCTCTCCGGCTCCGTCTGAATTCGTAACTGCAATAGCTTGTATTGTTCTTAATTATTATACAGTTTATCTGTGTTCTCTTGTGTACATTTATTCTGAAAGGCTGTATTTAGTTTTTAAAAATATTTGGGTTGACGTTGTCGGTTGAATAATAACATTCCAATTTGTTTGTTCTTCTGTTTTAAAGGTTCAAAATGTCACAGACGTCAACCACTTCAAATTTTGGAAGACCAAGTACACTCAAGTATGAGGAAAAAATATGTCACCATTGTAGAATCAAACTTGCAGTTAAGATTGTTAGCTCCCGAACTTCAAATTATCAGAATTTGTATTACGCTTGTGATAGCCATGGGTTTGTTGGTTGGGCTAATCCAATTAATGAAGACGGAGTGCGCGTAAGAGACGACGTTAGCCTTAGCGACAAAGTTGGAGTGCATCGCGAAAGCAACAAAGATGTGAAAATAAAAAAAAAAAAAAATTGAAAAGATATATGATTTACTAATTCTCATATTGGTTCTTGTAATGGTAATGCTTGTTGTTATTCTAATAAAATGACAAGAATGGGAATTTGTCTTAGTTGGACATTACCGAACACGCTGTGATGATGATGGAAATGAATGGGCAATTGGTGTTTTTTTATTGGCTGCAGGCTATATGAACATGTGGCATACCATTGAGAAATATTGAAGATGCCTTGATGCTTAGTCAAATAACGTGGCTCGCTTTCACAGTTCCACAGTTCACTTCTAGTATGTCTCACATTCCGCTGCACAAACATATTCAATGTCCACAATTGTACAAACATGCACAGTACATATACATCTTTAGGCACTGTTGTTACATTACAAATGAAAGTATTCGAAACACATAGCCATTCCATATGTTTCTATTTAAAATAAAAAGTACTTCCACCCATCATGATGAATTAGAATGTTGGTCCACATTGCATACATCCAACCAAAATCTAGGCAAAAAACAATGAAACAGTTCATTGCAAAGTCATGAACCCTAGGGATTACATTAACAGCCTTAACACTTATACACATACCAAACGTGTAAATAAGTATAAGGATTGGAACAAAATGGCTACTACGTGCATCGTTCAACCTCATGGCTTCACATCCGCACACATAACTTACTAAAACCGATGAAGTTGGTACCCCAAAAAGACAAAAGGTAGGTTGACGACGATAAACACATATTCCTGCTTGTTTTTCTTACTACGGTGACCCGGTCAATATTTGGTGCACCATCGAGCTCCGTCCATCATCGTCGAGACTGAAAAACAGTTCCATCTCGTCAACATTTTTGGATAAGTACCGAGCAACAACGACCCTTTCATCAGTTGATAAGTTAGGAATTTTTTTGAGTGCATCGTAGACGGCAATTCGTTGCGCTTTTGCATCAACTTCGTGATCGACACGTGTGGAAAGTTCTAAAAGACGGTTGTTCGTCTCTTGGCAAACGGATGACAGTAGACCAAATATTTTATTCTCCACCTCAACATTACGCTTTCTTTTTCCATCACGCTTAAACTTGCCGGATGCACTACTCTCACCTGCTTGAGCCGAAAAAGAGTCATTGTTATTTTGAGGATAATCAAAATGTTCCGGGCTTGTGTCAAGAGTGGGGTTAGGGCTCGGTACTTCGACGTTTGTGTCATGTAACACCTCATTAACCGCGTCTGTGAAACCTAGTGCCCCCTCTCCCGTTGCCCGGTCCTTTCCGAATATTTCTACCCAATCCGGAAAAAGAGGCCAAGGTTTATATCGCATTGCTTTGACCTTTGGATGCGCCTAAAACAATGAAAACAAACAAAACTACGTAAACGATTAGTATTAAATCAAAAGAAAATGAAATGTGTAAATCAAACCTTGACGTAGGCTTTCCAAATGTCAGCATTCTTCACAATAAGCATGTTCCCTGTTTCACTCCATTTAAAGCCAGAAGTACCAAGCATTCCCAAAAGCAAACCATAATTTTTTTTCCAGACAGTGATCTTGGATGAGATGTGAGGTTCGGCTCTTATAGATGTTCCCGGGAACATCTGCTGCATGTGTTGTTCTAATATAGTGGTGTAACCATTTCGAAATCCGTTGTCGCATTTCCAGCCACGTGGAACAAGATCGCGCAAGCCTTGAATCAAAGCACGCTCCTCGTCTTCATTCCATACTCGACGTTGTCCGGCAGCCTGTGAATTGCGTCCCCCACTGGCAGTGGATTCCATGATGAGTAACTAAAAGGCATGCACAAGAATTGTAAGATATCACCAAGCCAAATAAGAATGAAGTATAAGCAACAAATTAGCAACATTAGTAAGATAAAAAGGATTGTCTATTATTTTAAAGCACACAAAGAAGTAGAAAAAAACTTAAGTGATACAAATCACACATTTTGAAACAATCAGTCAATAAATTTGCTTCCAACATGAATGTCTTATTTTGGGTTTTTCTAAAACTACAATTAAAAAAACTTGAGTTCCTATTTTCATCATTCGTTGCTTCATTCTTCAACTCCTGCCATCCCATTCATTAAACATTGACATAGCCAAAGCATCCCGCATATTTGTCCATTCGAGGGTTGGCTCAACAACATCGACATAGTCTAAGGGGTCATGGGCCTCGAGGTTTGGCTGCCGATTCATTAAATTGTCCCCTTCATTTTCCATTGGGTCCACATGCATGGTAATCCGGATGAAGTTCTGAAGGAGGCAACAGGCAAGGATAATTTTATTTTGAGTGCGTATGTCGAAATAAGTCTTGCTCCTAAGGACAGCCCAACGCATCTTCAATACTCCAAAAGCTCGCTCAATAACATTTCGCGCTCTGGCATGTCTCAAGTTGAACAGCTCTTTATGGTTTGTAGGTAGTCGATTACCTTCACCAAACTCATCCAAATGATACCGCACACCCCTATAAGGAGCCAAGAAACCCGGACCATTTGTGTAGCCGCCATCGCAGAGGTAATAGTTCCCTGTGTATGGGAACCATATGTGAGAAACAGAAAAAATAAATTAAATGAAAATTACTTTCAAGATTTGTTATTAACATATTCGTTGCAATGAAGCAAAAAATAATCTATAAATTATTATATATATGCTATCTAAAACTAACCAGATGGTACACGAAGGCCCCCTTCTCTGTGAACGGCGTCTTGTAAAACCCTACTGTCAGCCGCTGAACCTTCCCACCCGGTCAACACATACGAAAAATTCATTTCTTGAGTGCACACACCAAGCACATTCACAGAAACAAAATTTTTCCTGTTTCGATATCGTCCGTGTAGGCGTCCAGGGACACGCACTGGAATATAGGTTCCATCTAAGGCTCCCAAGCATCCCTGTGAGAAAATACACAACAAAAAAACAACTTGTACACTTAAGTTATGCTAATATAATATTTATATAAAAAAAATAGCGGGTATTGTTGACCTCACCTTAAACCATCTCCATCTCCAATCGGTGCATGACTCGGTTACAGCAGTAGGTTCGACCTAGAGGAGGGGGTGCAGACGCAAGACGGCACGTAGAACATTGTGGAAGAATTTGCTAATTGTTTGACCGGATCTTATAAAATCAAATTTCACTACACGGTTTTTCTTATGGTGAGCTAGCACACTAAGAAACATTGCCACTTGCTCAGTTATTGGTATATTTCTGGTGTTCTGGAGCCCGCCAATATGTTCCAACAAGTAGCATAACCGGACAAAGCTATTTCGATCCATGCGAAGTTGTTCAATGCATGTCCTATCACTTATTTCTACTAAGACTTTCATGTGTGCAATTTGAGAGGGTAGGCGGTCTGACATACGATATGATGCATTTCCAAGCCGACGTCTAACTCTACGATGGTGTCTCGGTTGAACAACCAATTTAATGTAAAGGTAGGCAATGATAAAAATCAAATTACGAAGATTAATTATCTCTTCGCCAAGCAACAATACTACCGCCTCTTCGGAACCTATGTCCATGCTTAAGCTGATGAGAGCAAACAAAGATATGTATTTCTCCATGTAAGAGGTGAAGGAATATGCAAACACTTTTTACACAATTCTTGGATTCTAAAAACAACGTAAATCATAAAAGCAATCAAACTATTTGTTGAGACCTTTAAGAAATATTATTCATGTGTAATTTCTTAGGGTTCATCAAGTAACATATCAACTTCTTCATTTTATCTTACAAACAGGACGCCCAACAAAGACCACATGTATACGTGATGCATAATAACAACAGTCCCCAAAATAAACACATCCCACCAGTTCAATCAACAACATTATATATATATATATATAAAAGTCACTTTGAGTTACAAATATACCAAAAACGTATCCCAAAAAGCCCCACAGTGGTGTAATCTCCAGGAATTAATGGGAAATTAATTTTAAAATATAATCATTACGGGCTTCAATTACCAGTGATGAAGGAGGATGACGGTAAGAGGAATCACAGAAAATCCGTGCCTCGCAAATCACCGATCAGAGTGCGCTCGTAATAAAACTGCAGCCCATAAATTGAAAAATTTTAGGGTTTTAAGAACGACAGATTGTCGAACACAGAGGAACACAGTAGGCAAAAACCAAGTACAATATACATGACCCGTGGTCGTGTTAAAGGTATTGTACAACAAAACACACGTACCGTCAAGTAGCAGAAGAAAGCAATGAGTTTCGGCACTTCAACCCCTCGCGCAGATCTTGTTCGACAGTCTTGCGGCGAAGAGGACGATTGGTCTTTATATCGGACAAGTTGTAATTTTTCTGTACGCAGAGGTTATTTTAGTACGAATTTTATAATTTGAGGGTGAAAAATGACTTTTAACATTACACATACTGTTGAGATTAACAAAATCTCGTGTCCATAACGAGATCAAATAATGCCCCATATGCAAGATAAAGTGGTTTTAATATTGGGCTGTGTCTAATCTTACGGGCCTCAGACATGGAAACCAAACGATGGACTGGGCCATGATTAAGAGCTTAATCTTGTCTAATCTCCCCTATCAAACACGCCCTCAAAGTATACGAGCAAGGCGAAGCCGAGCGAGCTAGTTTTCAATGTTCATGTATAAGTATAAGTTTAAGTTAAGCCATGATAAGATTCTAAGACATGTCCCAATGAATTTTAGTCCACGAGGAGTCGAGCCCTCGAGTTCTTTCAAGCTCAAGCCTTTAAGTCGAGCATTCCAAAAAAGGTGGGGGAAGTTCTACGTTATTTATCCTTTTTGATTATCTATGTTTTGAATGAAGTTAAGTAGCTTGCATAGTACCCATGTTTATACAATGTTCCAACATTCGAGCAAGTCGTTTGTTGCAGTACCAAGGTTCACGGACTATAACTCTAGAGGGTGGCTAGATGCTAGGGTTAGAGTATGTAAGTGCGTGCATGTAACCTTCGTTGGTGCACACTTCGAGCGGTTGTCCCCGTCGATAAGACTGTACGGAGCCATGATGAGGGCTGTCTTCCTTCAACCCCGCGGGTGGTACTCTCGTCAAGCCTAGTTGGCCGTGCTGCGAGAGGCAATGTTCTCCCACCACCATAAAGTGGTATAAGGAGTTTGACGAGGGGTGGAAGTGTAACGATAGTGTACTCACGTGCGTGCTATGACTTTAGTGTTTAGTTGTCTAATAGGGTTGTAGTAGCAAGAAAGTATTTCGACTTGTGGGCAACCACTCATCGGGAGCTCATGATTATGTTGAGTATACCTAATGATTTCATGCATGATGGTTGGTTAGGATGGTAACTTAGAAGGATCTCTCACTGAGTAAGTGGAAATGCTCGCACCCTATTTGTTTTCCACACCCAGATATATGGCGAGCTGGCATTGGAGCGATGACGAGGGTGGTCACATGGTCATAGGATTATAATATGATTTGAGTTTCTACGCTTCCGCAATTAGTTATGTTTTTATTGAATATTCATGTTTAAAGCAAAGTGTATGTCATCGATATGCAAAGTTCAATGTTAAGCCAAGGTCACGTGTAAGCCCTCAAGGCATTGCCATGGAAAGTTTATCTTTTATGTCTAATGTTTTCAAAGTAAGACAAAGTCATGAGTTGTTCACGAAATGTAAGTTAAGTTTCAAATGCAAGTAAGTTTATTTTAGTAACGCCCTAAGTTTAAGTAAAGATTTCCAAGTATTGTTTCAAAGAAAAATTTATTCTGAAATTTTCAATTGATTTCAACGTACGAAAAGTGGGGCGTTACATAAGCACTCCATTTGACCGACCTTATTGCCCTTAATTGTAGCCTTGATATATTTTAATTATATGGGATAATTAGGGGGCGATTGTTTACAAATTGGTCTAGAAAAAATTTGATTTTTTACTCAAATCACTGTTGGGCTTGTGATTGTATATGAATTGATTGTTTGTTCTGGGCCCACTTAAAAAATCCGACATCCACGTTGCTCCCAACCAACACACCTGCAAAAAATTGATTTCCTTCCTCTTCTTTTTTAACCCATTTCTTCACATTTCAAATCGATCGAGCTGTATGATTCCCGTACATCTTGTTGCCCCAAAACTTTTCCTCCATAAATCCCCTCAACCACCTCTGCTGCGTATGGAGCTCTCCCCACAAAGAAGCATTTCGGCAACAGAACGAAAAGAAGACGGTGAAGCACGGATCGATCGCCGCCCTGAACAAAGTACCGAGAGCACCGGTAGCATCTCCGTCACGTCTCCGAAAAAAAAGACTCCGGCTATAACGCCCCATTTTATTTTAAAGGATTTACCGAATTTATTTATAAAAACCAGAGTTAATTTTCCGCAAATTTCAAATTAAATTTTAAAACTCAACGGGCGCTACTTAATTATCAGGAACAATTTAAAAAAAACATAAACACATCAGATTAAACCTACACATGCATAACTAACAGTTATAAAAATAAATCCAAGCATTTATTATGTTCCCAAAACAACCATAAATCCAAAGGTTTAATCCGACATAATCAATATCCAAAGCAAGGAGGAAAGTAAAACCAAGTCATAAAACAGTTCGACCATCGGCGGAAGCATAATATAACAATAAAATAATAAACCAATGACTACCATCTCGCTCGTCTTTACGCCACCTCCACCAGCTCAGCTCAACCTAAGGAAAAAGGAAGAGTAGACAAACAGAAAAATAATGGGGGTGAGCATGACCATCAAGCTCACCATTATTGCACAGTTTATATCGCATAAAGATTTTAAAAACAATACGGTATGCATAGAATCCAAGGTCTA